TCTCTTATTTGTCTTTTCTTCCCTTCCTTGCCTTCATCTTGTCTCACTGAAAACTCCTTCTGCTATTTTGCCAAGACTATTCTAAATTTCCATTGTAGTTATCTTGGATCTTGCTACAGTAGACATCTCTTGAACTAGTGTGTCTCCAATCTCTCTTCCCCAGATCAAATATTTTGCTTTGAACAATATTTTCTCTCATAGTCAAGAAAAGTTCAAATAAATCATGTGTGAACATACGTCTAGCTTTCTCTTCTGTTTCCATAGTTTTCCGAATTGACTGTACCAGTCTAAATAGCTTTCTTAGATTTTTTCCCCCACTATCTCCTTCTCTTGGCTACTATTTTCCTTAAACTCTGAAACCCTAATGTTTAAACATGTCTTCAGGGAGGGGCACTGCTGTTGAGTTGGCATCTGCTTTCCATCATAGCATGTCATCTTCCTTTGCAGATAATTTTATTTCTCATTGATTTTTTCAACAGTATTTACTGACTGCCTAGCATGAGTGCTGAAGACAGATCATGCAGAAGTTGTAAAGAGACTCTTAAGATTCTCTTTTCCATTTACTTCAAAAGGCTTTTCTTCCGTCAGTCACCCCCACTTCAAATTCAATACATGTCTTCAACCATAAAGTTCCCTGGACCTCATTCCTGTCCTGATTTCTTCTTCTTTACCTCTTGTCCCTATCTAGTCTTCAATCCCATATTTTTTCTAGGAGCTATTGCTATATCCATCTAATCTGCAAGTTCTCTAAATTCTGTGTATTTTCTAATAGCATCTTCCGCTCAGTCAGGCCTCAAAATTCAAATTCATCTTTGCCCTATTCCTGGAGTTTATCTTTGACTTGTGTCCTTATTGCTCTTATTTGCTTCTTTTTCTCTCTCTCTCTCTCTCTTTTTTTTTTTTTTACAATTTTAGTTTATTTCCTTTCTGGAATATTGAAGGTATGGCCTGAATTTTTGTTTTAGCCACTGTCCAAGTTCCTTAGCCCTGGTATTAAAAGGTTTATAAGAGCGGCCTGACTCTCATTTTCCATTTGACTTCCCACTGCTGGCTTCATACCTGTGCCTCTATGTAAACTTCCTTGGTTATTTTTCACCCGTGAATCTGTCTGATCACTGCGAAAGCCTTCCTGCTATACCACAGACATGCTGTCTGGTTGTTTATCAGTCCAGCAGTAGGTGACACAAATCCCACTTCTTCAGAACCTTTATTCCCCCAGATATAACTTCTTCTGCTTCGAGAACATGGATGGATATAGTTGTTTTATATTTACTGTATTTTTAAAATCTATTTTCCCCTCTATTTCGAGTCCTTGGTGATAGAAAGTTATACCATTCATCTTCTGCAAGATATCAAATACATCACCTTACTCAGAAGCATATGTTCAAGAAGTTAGTTGAGAAGATCTCTGTTTTCAAAGAGCTTACTTAGCATTAGAGCACACCAGTGAAGTCATAAGCTGTGCATCTTGGCTGAGTGGCATGTCTTCAAGAGGACAAAGTGATTGCTATGCCTGTGACAATTTTCATCTTGCATTTACTCAATTGCTCTAAGAGAGAGCAGCTTCTGCATAGACGCAGAGAGAGTGTGCTGCCAAGCATGAGGACACTGCTTTCCTCTGGAGGTATTTACTGTCCCTGAGACTAACCATGTGCCCTCCACTTAATACAATGTAAACATTTAAAAACTTAGTTGTGAACTTATACAAAAAGTCATTTCAAAGACAAAAGCTGGTAAAAGATGAGCGGGCTCCTGAGAATATGTGTGTGTGTGTGTGTGTGTGTGTGTGTGTGTGTGTGTGTGTGATGTTTTCTATGGACAAAACAATTGCTTACCTAGTGTCTCCTTGCACCTGAGATTATCAAACATCATTCTAGATTTTCTTGCACTAACTTTTTATTTATTTATGGTTTTTTTTTTTTTTTTTTTTTTGTGGTACCGGGGATTGAACTCAGGATCCAGGCACTTATTCTACTGAGCTATCTCCCAGCAACTTTGCTAAAATAAGACATTTGCTTCTCATAAACTTCTCACCCTACCTAAATATCCCTAAATATACTCGCTTGGGTTCTGGAATTGGAATGTAAGTTCCAATATGCTTAACAATGTTAGTCTGCTAAACAATGCTTTAAAGCCATAACAAAAGATTTTTTGTATTTTATATCAAAGCATTTATTTTTTTTTCTTTTATGCTTATTTATTTATTTTTAATTAATTTTATTAAGAAAGAAATAGCAATATATATATATATTATATACAAAATGGGATAGATATACAGCTACTTCCTCTTAGTTAAATGAGAAGAAAGATTTGTACTAATACAGTTTAGACAAGATATCATGTCTGCATCTTGTACTATGAATAACTACTAGGATGACAACAATATACAATGTAGTAATTATTATAACTGTCCTACTAACCTGTTTTGAAACTGTCTCAAAAGGAGCTTTAGAGTTTTTTTAAAGCTCCAGTGATGTATACCTACGCTGAGTTGTGATTCTGTTTTATAATCTATTCATACTGGGGTCTTAGTATGTAGTCAACACATGACATACTAAGTCATGACAGTTGGTGAGCCCATATGTTTATGAACTTCCATGAAATAGGGATTTTGAAATTTGGCTTTGAAAAGAAAAGGCTAAATATAGAATTTTGTGTGCTGCTCCAGAAAACATTATAATGTTCAACTTAGCACAAATTTTCTATAAGTTAGGGTACACAGTATAATAAAGAGTTCAATGACATGGCGTAAGTTCTAAGTATTGATTGTATTTTTAGTTTTTATTTCTTAGTGCTCCTCTCCAGTTTAAAGTAGATAGCAAAACTGGTCCATTGCTTAGAGAAGAACATATTGCTTTGTCTTTGGGTCATGCCCACATTGACAGTTTTTATGGCAGACAAGAGGCCAAGTCATCATTATGGGCAAAGAAACGCTTAAATCATCTGAAGATGGCTGTTGTGATCTGAACTGAAGTTAGTGTAGACTGCTTTAGAGTCTGTGTCTAACTCCCCAAGTGGAAAAGTTTGGTTTTACTGAAGGATGACTGTTTTCACCCTCAGGGTGGGTAGATTGGATTGAAGAATACACAGGAGGAGAGTTTGTCAAAGAAATTCAAAGACTTGTGTTAATAGGTTCTAGAGGGAATTTGAACCAGGACCCCAGGTGGAACCATAAATGTTTGCATTTTATGGACTTACACAAGTGTGCAGAGGATAAAGAGGAAGAAGTGAAAGATGGAGTAAAAAGTGTGGGAGGAGAAAATATCTGGAGAGGTGTAAAATTCTGTTGCTTTTCAGTTTATGATTTGTTGAGACAAGAATAAAATAGCAATTTGAGGAGTAATTTTGGTGGTAATTGGAATGTTTTGAGATACTCTTCAATAGTGATTAATTATCTATTAGTCCTATATCCAAGTAAAGTCCCAGAATTGTAGGAACTGATTATGATATCAAAAAATGGAAATTTATCACTGTGTTTCTGGACTGACTACAGTGGTACAGTCCAGGGATGGACGAGTCTTGTCTGTTTGTGAGTCCTATGATTCTCTTGCGAAAAGAGACACTTCTGTTCAACGTACCTTGTATCCATTAATTGGAATCCCACATTGACACCAATAATATGTGCAATTAATACTTGTCAGGAGAAATTTAAAAGAAAAATATGTTATGGGAAATGAATGGCTGGAGAGTATGTATCTCTAATGGGTATGAAGTGGGCTATGGTGTCATTAAGGAATCTCCCACCACCCTAAAATAAGTAAGACTTACTAAATATTCAGGGCTTGCATTCCACTGAGCCACAGTGTGAACCTCTTGGTGAAAACTGAGGAATATTCTTTAAACTTTACTTATATTTGAATTCTATTTGTGATCATCTAGGCTTAATTATCATTGCTTGGAAAGTTTCGTATTGATTACATCTTACTTTTTGTAGTAACAATGTTTTACAGCATTATAACAATGCTCCTGAGGGTTAAGTAGGCTAAAGTTAGTGATTATTATTTTCAATGTTTGTAGAAGACACTCCTGTCTTATTTATGTATTGATCTATATGGCTCTATTCAGCATCTAAAGGAGTGAAGTCTTAAAAATAATTAGCAAATTTGAATGAATACCTCCCAGTTTTATAGTACTTACTATCCTTAGACCTCTTTTGAACTATTTTATGTATGTTGATTCATTTAAATTTCAGAGCAATTACATTAAATAGGACTATTGTTACTTATATATTGCAAGTGAAATAAATGAGAAAATAGAGGTTAAATCATTTTCCTGATTAAACACAACAAATTAGGGGCAGAGTCACAATTTGAACAGACGCCCTTATTCTCCATTTACACAGTCACCTACTAGAATAAAGATAATAAAGATTGTGATATCACTCTAAGGCTATGCTTTACACCTACTTAGGCAGACACAAGGGCCAGGAGTTTGATTCCCTGGCCTGCCATGCCGGCCCTGCCCCTGGAGCACGCTGAGAAGGTGATTGAGACTGGGTGTGGTGGCTCCTGACTGTAATCCCAGCAATTGGGAGGTTGTAAACAGGTGGATCACTATGAGTCCGACCTACGCAGTAAGCCCTAAAGATTCTGTAGACCCTATCCTAAATACAAAAAAAAGCTATGCTTTAATAGGAATGTTTATTAATAGATTATAAACTTGTTAGCACAAGAACAACATTTTATTAATTTTGTCATGCATTGTTTCAATAAATTGTTATAATTACACTGCACTTGATTTGTAAATTATTATTGTCACGACATCGTCTGTCCAGGAGATTTGTGTTTTGCAGTTGTAAGATTTACAGTCAGAAAATCTTTTGATTTATGAACTTTAAGCAGTTTTATTTTTAAGTGAGATACTGTTTTCCTGTTGGTCTCATTAAATGGTTTAATATAGTAGCATACATGAAGCAAGCTTTTGATTGACTCAATGATTGTTTGAATCATTTGAATTGGTTGAAATTCTCTTGCTTTAAATATTATTTTTTTTTTTTACAGGGCGCTGCTCTAATTAGAATGCTGGCTAATTTTATGGGCCATTCAGTTTTTCAGAGGGGTTTGCAAGTAAGTAAAATATTTTCCATTTTCCATTAAAATTTCCTTGCCAATATATTTAAGTATATTTCACAAGTTGGGAATTTGTTAATATAAAATTGATGACTTTGATGGAAAATTTAAGATGTGTAAGCAAAGTAATATCTTTCTGTATGACCACCGAAAGTTGTAGATAGAATAGTTTTTGTCCTAACTGAAAAGAAAAACTGTAGTTACACAATTTTAAATCTAAATTGAAGTAATTTTCACACATATCACGTTCTAAATTTGATATAAGTCTTTAAAAAGACTGCTGTCCTTCTTTTCACTTACAACTTCAGATAATGTGAAAATAAGTTTTATTGGTCTTAGTAGAATTATGTATTTCAGAAAATCATGAGGCTACTAAGATGTTTCCTTTAGGTTTTACTATCCATGTGCATGAATTGTTATTTGTTTTAATGATAAGTACATGTTTATACTTCAATTGGAAAACAATACTTTTTGAAAAGGAATAAAAAGAAACAGTTTATCATACTGCATGTAGAATAAGAATTATGGAACCTAAGAATGGATTTTCAGAAGAGGAAATTATATTAAATTTAAAGCAGATACAAATATAGAAATATGGGCGTTTATGCCATTGAATATGCTGGAGTAAATCATGTTACTGGTAGCTGTGATTGATGAATTATTTATGATGCATTCTGCTACTTAGAAGTGTCCTTTAAAGTAAATTGATGTTCACCTGAAATACAATTATGTTAAGACAGAGCAAGCAATCAATCTTATCTGTTCTTAGTGAGCTTTTCATTTTGAAATTTAAATAAACTACATCTGGGATCAGGTCATATTTTAGAGGTATAATTGCATTTTTACCCATAATACACTGAAAGATAAAATACAAAGCAAGAGTTAAATGTGTTATGACAAAATATATTCCCAATTCAATAGAAATATATAAATATCTTGAAGAATAATTTCCATGAGAAAACATTTTTACAGATTTGGTTCTGCAGGGGTTGAAATTTACTTTAATCAGCTTTTTCCATAAGGGATGTCTTCACAATAGCTGAATCATTGAACATAGTTGTGAAGTGCTAAATGTTCTATTCTGATCACGTAGTTGGGAAAACATTTTTCTTTTCCCTCAAGGAGTGCCCTCCATGAATATCAGCTATCTGGGAAAAGGCCCTTCTGTATCACCCATCCTTTGCTTTTTCCCCTTCAAAGTGGTACATGACAATCTGAGAAAATATCTAAGCTTTCATAAGGATAACACAAATTGAATTTGATTTCTTGGAAGCAAGATTATGTGAAATCATTTTCTACGTACAGCTTTTATTGTTCTTCATCTGAGTGGGTAGATTTGCTCAGCGGATTGAATAAGTTTAATTGTATTATCTGGAGAAGATCTTTGCTTTGTAACATTTTTCTTGTCTTTGTAACATTTTTCTTTTCTTAACCTGTCCTACTTTCTATGATATGCAAAATACATCATTTTAAAAAACATCTTTTCCCTTTGATCTATCCCATTCAGTTCTATCTGAAACAGAACACATGTGCTGACTCATTAAGATAAAAATATATGAAGCTTTATGAACCTGTGCGTTTTTGGTCTTATTCTTGATTTGGTTAATTTTCAGTTAAGGGACTCTATGTTTGTCAACATTGCCTTTCATTTGCCATCTGACACCTCATTGATCAGATAGATCTGTTTCCTTCAGTACCTGGCTCACGGCTTTATTTGTGCTCATCGCTCAAACTGATTTAGTGTATCATCAGCAGCTTGGATTAGCTTACAGTAGATCCCCACGTCTCGGTGATAAATTATCATCTCTGTGGATGAAGACGTATGGGATACAGTTTGGAGTTGACCTCCTGAACACACACTGTGAGTCGCGGTGCTGAGTGGTCAGAGCTGATATTGATATGCTTTCCATCCACAAGGCTCCGGGGAGTTTTGGTTTACAAGCTGTTGAAAGCGCTAATCTAGGTTGTCAGCACTTACCTTTGCTGGAAGATCTATTCGTTGCTTTTACCTTAACCATAGCTATTCCTGTGTCAGAAATTGGAAATTTGTTATTTGCAAACAAATCCATAATTAAGTTTCCATTAGGTATGTTCCTCCCTTTTTTATAAGTCTGTTCCATGTTTACTTTCTTTCCTTTCCTCAGCATATCTCTTTCTTTTCTTCTGTGCTAATATCTTTCCTCCCATGTTCTACACAGTAGAGTTGTCATGGCAATTTCTTATTGATTTATTATCTACCTAAAAGTTGTATTCTGTAATTTTGGTGTACTTATGACTCATGGTAAGCTGTTTTGGAACAAAGCAAAGATTATTTAGAAATAGATACATTGTATGCATAACTTAGTATCATAGTGAGTTTCTGCATCAGTTTAAATATTTACATATTATTTATAAACTATTAACTGTCAAGTCAAGTATACTTTATGTCTTTTATACTGTTTTGTATGGCAGTATGTACCTTAAATTTCAAGTCAAACACAAATTTGTCAGCAGGAAGGGACCCTAGAGAATTCTGAGGGCTTTTTTTTTTTTTTTCCTGGTAGTATCAAACCCATGTGGTCAGCTATTAGAAAGTCTGGAGAATAATTCTATGTCAGGTAATTGCAATTTGACTTTTGGAATTTTTTTGTAAATCTTTTTCTAATTCCCTATGTATTGTATGATTTCAATCTGACTCTCAAATGGTTCTATCTTGCTTGTTTTAAGAAAGTAAACTGTCTCAAACTGTTTTTGGTAGATATCATATATACAGGTATGAAATTACTCCCCAATATCTCTAATAATCTGACTTCAGTTTTATTGTATGAATTGAAAGTGACACTTGGGGTGAATCACACTCAAACCATTCTATTGTTGAATTATGTGTGCCATTTATTAATGACATTTTTAAAACAGAAATGATTCTATTTTTGAAATTCTGCAGATCAGTGCCAGGGAAATGGCTCAGTAGAATAAGCACTTGCCTGGCAAGTGCAAGGACCTGAGTTTAATCCCTGGTTCTGACAAAAAGAAAGAAAGAAAGAAAAGAAAGAAAGAAAAGAAAGAAAGAAGAAAGAAAGAAAGAAAAGAAAGAAAGAAAAGAAAGAAAGAAAAGAAAGAAAGAAGAAAGAAAGAAAGAAAGAAAGAAAGAAAGAAAGAAAGAAAGAAAGAAAGAAAGAAATTCTACAGATCTGCCATTCTGTTTACCTATTTTCACAGAACATTTGTAGATGTTTTTGAGGAAGCTTGAGGTAATAGAATTAGTAGGGAAAAGTAATTTTTTCCTTCTAATTAACATTGGCATTCTACAACTCACCAAATCTCACTTGGCCTATGACCTTATAATTATAAAATATAATACGGAAGACTCCAAGAGTCATTTCATCTTGTATTCTCTTAGTCTATGACTTGATCAATTAGATCATTTGGGATTGATTGTTTTAGTTTAGGATAGCTGTTGTAATATGATGAGGAAATCTTAACTAGATGTGTGAGATTGATTCCCTGCTCTTGTATCACTAGGTAGCCATCTAAATATTAGGATTGAATGGCTGCCAGTGCACCCTGTGTTCTTAGCAGTAGTCAAATCAAAATAGTATTTGCTGTTAGAGAGATTTTTGCTAGTAAAATGATTCATTTTGCAGTATTAAGAAATAACTTTCATTTTCTTGAGTTTTTAGTTACATATTTCATATTTTGTTCTCTATACTTTTAATTTTTGTGATAAATCCACAGTTTTATTTATTATTATTATTACTTTATTTTTTATAATTTATTTTATTCTATTTTGAAGAGTAAAAACAAAAGCAAAAGCAAATAGTACATACAAAGACAGAGACAGGGTAACATACAACAACACATATGTTACAGATTTTCAAAACAAGAATAGCAAATCAACAATGATGGTTACATTAACTATTTTTATCATCAAATCTGTTGCTCGGTTTAAGAGATACAGCTATGCAAGATTGGACAAATAATTGAATATGAATGCTTACTTTCCAGAAACCTTAATTTTTGCTGATATTTGTGATCTAAAAAACTATGTCGAGAACAGTAATGTGTAATGCAAAAGCCATGGTTTACTACCTCTCATCCTGGTCTTCTAAATGTGTGCCATTTTTAATGTCTTTTCAATTATTATATGCTCTTTAAATAAATGTAAACAAAAGGTGAAAAAAGAGAAGAAAAACGAAACCACAGTTTTATAAAGGGAGATTAGTGAAGGACTTTCTTAACTTCCTTGATTATTTACAGTGCATACGCAACGCTTGCTAAGCCAAGAGTTTCTTCTAGTGCTCTTGAAATCTGGAGTAGGCTCTCCTTCAAGTGTGATGTTGCTGAGTGTAGTGGAGATTGGTCTTTAGGAGAACCAGCAGCTCCTTTGATTAATGACACAGGGGACTCACACAGGAGGAAACTTGCCTTTTCAGAGGCAAGAGAGCTGCTTTTCACACTGAGGTTCAACAGAGTTTCACTTTCTAAGGCCAGCATCCCAAAGCTTTTTTTTTTTTTTTTTGTGGAACCAGGGATTGAACTCAGGCCTGTGTGCTTGCCAGGCAAGCACTTATTCTACTGAGCCATCTCCCCGGCCCCAATCCCAAAGCTCATAGTCATAAGCTTTTCTGTCAACACCCTATGTTCTATATAAAAGATTTAATAAAGTCAGGAAATATACTTGAGCTATAATTTTGTCACTTAGCATTTCAATCCATGGTTAGGTTTTAAGACACACTGATTCTAAATCTATAAGGGATGCTAGAGAGTTCTGGCATTGTCATAGATCTCTACCTCCCACCTCTACCTCCAGATTTTAAAAAGTAAGATTATAATTTTGTTTTATAATCTCTTTTCATCTGTCAGAAATATCCAGTTTTTTTTCTCAGACTCTGTTTTGTCATAATGTTCTATTCAACCAGTTATTTAGGAAGCTATTGACAATAATTTAACAAAGTGGCCCTCAAAAACATGAATTGCAATGTTGCTACTACCTGGTATCCATGATATTGTCCTCTAAA